CTGCCGAAAATAAATAAACGCCAACATTATTATGCGTGCGCAAACGGCTACAATACGCGCCCCAAGCTCCCGGAATCCTTATCAAGCGCCTAGATAACGACGTGGTGTTATAATGTTAAACAATTCGCATATATTTAGAGGTGCACTGTAATTAGACGATCCGAAGGTTTCGTGAGATGCTTTCAAACAAAGAGGACCTAGAACGGTGCTCGTTTGCATCGCAAGCGTTCACTAAAATTAACAAGAGGGGAATTGGATCACCAGGCGCATGTCACAACAAAATATATTTTTGGCTAGGCATAAAAAAACATTTTACGATGCCCGCGAGAGAACAAAATAAGATCTGCAAGTGAGTGCCATCTCTAATAAAGCGGAGCAACGAAGAAAAAACGCCTTATAAAAACCAAAATAAATAGCAGAACAATTACTCACGTCCTTTTGAGCAAGTTCTGCCTCTGCTTCCAGAAGTTTGACGCTCATCTGACTCAGCGCGGCGGCGGTAGCTTCATCAGGTTCGGCTACTAGGCCCTTTAACTTGCGTAGTTCTTCAGCCTGGGCGAGGAAATAAAACCACCGCTACTAACTTCGTTTGAGTAATAAACAAATCTACATTAAAATTAGTTCACAGAAGACAGTATATGCCCTCCTGTAAGAGTGGAAAGAGTTGACAGTTTAACTGTCGACTACCCCGTTGTCTCCGCCACATCTCTTACTACACATAAAATGCATCGAGAAGAAATTCAATTCCTCCCACACGACAGAGACAGTATGAGCCTGACTCACCGCTTAACAAAGACATAAAATAACCCTAGCTCCCAAAAGAACCAATATGTGGGAAAACGCAGGGTGAACTGCAGAAGTGAGTCAATCTGTCTACTTCTCGTACTAGCAGTTGTTTCAAGCTGCGTCGACCAATAAATGTGTCGACGTCAGAAAATTCTATCGAAAGGAATCTGCTGCATACAAGATTTGAGGCATCAGGACGTACCTAATGGCCGCAGTTCGCCTACAAAAGAATAATCGAGGCCATGGCTCTGGGCCTGATGTATACAGAAAAACGCAAGTCGCTACCCTTGGCCACAAAGGCAGGAGAGACATGAATGGCAATTTTCTATCTTACACAGCGTCAGTCAACCACACAAAAATCGGTGAGCATCAAACTACCGGTACGACAACGAACCCTCGTTCCAATGATTAAGAGCGTTGGACTCCCGAATAACAAGTTGCGTTTTCAAGCGTCAGAGGCCACATTATCCGTAGTTGGATGTGACTGGCTGGTGACGGCTTGTAAACCAGAGGTGGCTATTCTAGTCTGCCTCGTCTTTGTCGGTAATTTTCTTTTGC